GCACTTGATCAAAAAACACGAACTTCACCAGAAACAACCTTAGAACTTGCGCCCATCCTTGTAATCAATTTAAAACATCAAAATAATTTCAATTACTCGTATTCAGATACATCTTTCCAAATACATAAAGAGCTATATATGGATCGATACTTGTCAGAGAATAAGAAAAATATAGAAGAAAAATGGAATCAAGTTGAAACGTTGAAGAGAGAACTCGAGAGGACTAGTTATCAAATTGACAAAATTTTGAAATTTCAGGTATTCAGAGTTTTAATTATGGTCACAATAGTTCAATACTGATAATTTATTATTTTCATTACCAGGGAAAACATAGTGGTACTGAGCTACTCAAAGGTTCTATCGAACATTTTAAATGGAAATGCAGTAGGGCCAAAGAGAAAGGTGAATCGTATGATGATGCGGAACGAACATTGATGTGGTTAATGGATGTCCAGGAAAGGGTAGAACGAAAGTTCAATGGTAATTTTCTCTTCGATTTTTTTTTTTTTACTTGAATCATTATTCTGAAATATTCATGTTTCTTACGTGATTGTAGCTCTTCTTGAAAAAAAAGTTGATCACGAACAGAACATCAAGAAAATATTTGACACGCAAGACATGAAGAAGTGTCTTTATCGTCTTAAAGCGGTTTTGGTTCATGAAGGGCAAACACATTGGGCTTACATATGGGTTCCAAGAGATGGGAAGGGTGATAGCCATTACACTAGCGCATTTGATGACGGTAGCTGGATGAAATTTCACGATACAAATGTCGAAAAGGTACATATGTCTATGTACAAAACTTCATGTTATTGGTTCTAATTCTTTCTGAACTCTCCTTATCCTCCAGGTTTATGAAGATTTAGTGCTTAAAGAGACCGTTAACAATTATCATTCAATCAATACCATTTACGCACTCATCTATGTCGACCATCAATATGATCATACTTTTCCTAATATCACGGATGTGATTCCTGCTTCTCTCAAGGTTAACATGTTTATTCATCCAATTCTAAAATTTTGTCAATTTAATAACTTTTTTTTTTTTTCTATTAGGAGTTTGTAAACAGGGATAATCGTTTGTTCGAGGATGAATTACAGAGTCAACATAGAAGTCAAGAGGATATATCTGAGATTACTGTGGACATCGACCATGGAACATGGGGTTCAGACTCTACAGCATATGGAACTTCATCGGATTTTGACTACTTTCCGGAACAAGCAAGCAATACCAAAAGCTATCAATCCACGATGCTTAAAAGGTACAGGATAAAATTAAAATGTTTATAATTAATTCTTTAGGCAATAACCTGCCTTTTGATACTTTAAGGATAGAGTTATTTGGTGTCAAACTCGGTCAGATTGAAGTTGTAAAATCACTGTTGGAAGATTATAAAGATGTAAGGAAATTTCGATTGATTTATCTAATGAAATCACACTCACTAGCATTATGTATGGCGTAGCAATCTGTGAGTAATTCTTTGGATTGGAATGAACCAATTCCCCTTCAATCCGGTTATCGCGGGAACGCTAAATATAGCGCAATGGTTGAAGCCTACGACAACTTTAAGTTTACAACTATGTATATCATGGAAGGGTTGGAACAATCTTTTCAAGACCAATATAAACAAGGACTGGGATATTTCCATCAGGCGTTGGTACTGGAGAAATTGTGGGTTGCCGAGTGTGAAAGTAAAGGGTTTAATGGAACAAATTTGGACCGCACAGAATTCATTAACACATTTGCAAAAGCTTTTCTAAAGGTTGGATGCAACACAATACTATTGATTCCTTTGCAAGAAGTTCATATTCCGTTAACTAAATAGCGAATCATTTTACTTCGAAAATTAGATTCTTAACGACGGTGCTTTGGAAAAAGCTAAAGATCCCAAGTCTTTTCCTGAAGGAGTTGAAAACGCGCTTAGTGTATTGAAGATCTGCATAAGTTTTAAGTTCATACGTGATGGATTTTTAGATGGATTGACAGAGGGATGGCTCAATCTTAAGAAAAATATTGAGAAAGATATTGATGATCATGCTACCTATGAGAAATTATCACTATTAATTTCATCCTACAGGTTATCCGAAATTCCTTGTGGCCTTGATATCAAATTCAGTTTTGATAATTTGTTAGAAAATCTCGAGCCACCTAAAGCTATTGATGATGATTCATTGGCTCAACGCTACACTGAATGTTTAAAGAAATGCAAGACTCAATTCAAAGATGTTGCACAAGCAATAGAATTGATTTGAAGGCAGTTGAATTTTGCATGTTTAGCAAGAAATGATTAATTTGTATAGCAGAAATTAAAATTTTTGTATCTTCGAGAAATCAAAGAGTATTAAAAAAAGAGATTTTTTATATATTGATAAAGCAAATCCTCGGTGTTCATGAAGTTTGAATTCTATCTGCATTTTAAAAAATTATGATCATTTGTTTTAGAGATTTCCAATCTTTCTACTTTGGCTTAGACAACATGGCCGAGTGGTTAAGGCGTCAGACTCGAAATCTGATGGGTTTTACCCGCGCAGGTTCAAATCCTGCTGTTGTCGTCTTTTTTTTCTTTTTTTTTTTTTATATTGTACTGCATATAAATAAACAAATGTGACTTCCTCGGTAAAAAGTTCCACCAATGAAAAATCATTATCTATAACCTCATCTTAGAATAATCCGCGTTCCTCTATACTTAACTTTTTTTAAAGGAACAAGGTTATTCTTCCCTACTCAACAACTAATTATAAGCAAAATGACTGAATATTGGTGAGTATTTACTTTTCATCTGATGTAATCCCTTACTAGAGTTAACTTTGTCTTTCACTTTCAGTCCTATATATGCACCAATTTTTGGAGCTTTAGGTTGTGCCTCAGCTATCGTCTTTACATGTAAGCTTTCTTACTAAATTTACCAAGCAAAATAACATCGAATAATTTTGTTAAGTGAGAATGTTCTCTGATTTGTTTTAAGAGACATCATTCCTTGTTACCAAATTTGAATTGATCATTACGGATTCATAAAAAATTTTCTCTCATTTTTTCTTTTGAAGGTTTTGGTGCAGCATACGGTACAGCCAAGGCTGGTGTAGGTCTGTCAGCAATGGGAGTTCTGCGTCCTGATTTGGTTATGAAGGCTATTGTACCAATTGTTATGGCTGGTATTATTGGTATTTATGGATTGGTCGTGGCTGTCTTGATTACCGACGGACGTGAGTTTCCTTCCTGTCAACTGTTCCATGTTATTTGATGTAATATGCATTCAATGTCCAAGTTTTTTATTTATTTTTCATATTCGGTATTAGTTAAACAAAAGATGCCTTTATATACGTAAGTTTTTTTTTTTTTTTGAAATCTTCAATGATAATTTTCTGGTAAAAAAAAAAAATTCTCTTCATCGGAATTCTAGTGGTTTCATTCAGCTCGGAGCTGGTTTAAGTGTTGGGCTCGCTGGTCTTGCGGCTGGTTTTGCTATTGGTGTTGTTGGCGACGCAGGTGTACGTGCGACTGCACAACAGCCACGGTTATTTGTTGGAATGGTTAGTAACTTTTGGTATTCTATTTGGTAATATTTAAATTCTCACATTTGAAATCTTGTTTTCAATTTTCAGATTTTAATTCTTATTTTTGCCGAGGTGTTGGGTCTTTATGGATTAATTGTTGGATTGATTCTAAATACCAAAGCTAGTGGTGATGTTACATGTTAATCGCTTATTAGATTTTATTTTTTTTTCCTGATTTGTATTTTTATTGGTTCAGAATAAATTTTATCGAGGTTATATATATTTCTCAAAATCCTAACAAGTTTGTAATCTGTAAAAATGTGCATATATAATTTTGATCAAATAATTAAAAACCAACTGGAAGTGAATCTAGAGGGTGTGACTATTAGTATTATAAAATATTTTCCTTGAAAAGTATTTAGTATTCAATGTCGAATAAAGATATATTTTTAAAAAAATACTGTTTAAAAGAATTATTTAAACATAAACAATATAAATAAATTTTAATATTGAAATAATTACATATTATATAGCAAATATTATAAGTTTATTTTATATATAACTTGTTATTATTCTTATTTAGAAATTTATTTATTATAATAAGTTTTAAATTGGAAACAAAACATTTTATTATTAATAAATTTTTCTATTACTTAAATTATTTATTAAGCAAATTTGCTTAAAATTTTTATAAAATTTCTATAATACAAAATTATAAAAAATAAAAATTCTTCTAATGCATGATTTTTTCAAATTAGAAATTATATCATAAATTTTTAAATAAATTTGTTTGAAACCAAAAAAAAAAATTTTTTTTAAACAATTAACAAAAATTAAAATATATATGTAATTTATAAACCTATTTAATTTAACCTATATATGGGAATAAAAACATTTTACAAATAAGTAACATGAGCTTAATTTTAAAATATTATTTTATTAACTTTTAATTTCAAAATTTGAAGCATTAAAATCAAATGAAACTAATAATTCAATTAATAAAAATTCAATTTAACTTGTATTAAACATGATTTTTTTTATTTTTTTTATTTAAATAAAAAATATATTTGATAAAAAAAATTTTTATAAGAATAATAACTTTTTAATAACTTTTTTAAAAATAAAAATAAAAATTTATATAATAAAAACAATTAATTCTTCTATAATATAAATTTAAAAATAATTCACAAACTCTTCTTATTGATTCACTGACCAACACTCCAAAATAACATTTAGATTAAAACATATCTTTACTCTTAACAAAATCCAAACACTCTCTCTAATACAACTTGACAAACCTTGGCAAAATGCTCTCATACTTTTACTGTTTTATTTATTCCTTTAATAAAATAAAAACAAAAAGACTCCTTAGTTTTTATTTACTCAAGCTCTGATGGCAAGAAAGAGTTTCTTAGGGAAGAAGATAGTTTATTTGGCTTTTCTTCTTTTTTTCACTATTATGATATTAATATCTCTATCAAAAAAAATAAATTGAAAGATTATTTGATATCTTGGTCTTCAAAAATCTTCACAATATAAGTATAGCTATCTTTTTAATGTGTTTTCAAAATTCTTTAATTTTTTTAAGGAATTTTACTTATTTCAATTTGATCCTGAATTTTGGTTACACCAGATCTGCTGGGTTTCCATTGGCTGAAAATTTGAATTGGATAATAATAAACAAATAATAGATAAATAAAACAAAAATACATTCCTATCTATATTACATAACTTCAATAATATCCTTATTTTAGACAAAAAAAGTAAGACGATAAGATATCCATTTTGATACAATTGGATTTGTATATATACTTTCTTTACTTTTCCCTTCTCTCTTCTTTTTCATTTATTCTTTCCTATATATATAAATACAAACAAAATAAATAGAATATTTTTTTTATAGAATTTTTTGATTCTAATTCATGATTTGTGAAGAATCAAAAACTATAAACCACTCAGCAAAATTTTTAATATGACTTTTCCTATCAAAAGAGCTGTTAAGCTCATTAGTGATATTTATTATTCTTATTTCTAGTAAAGGTACTTAGTTGATAATATTTGTCAAAATGAATGACTTCTCTCAAGACATAGTCTAACTTTGAAAGAGTTGTGTCTTTTTAAATAAGTAGCTTATGTTTGAAGTAAGATATTATCTAAAGAATTGAATTGTCAATCTTACTATAGGTTTTAAGATATTGGTTAGACCTAAGTTCTATTTGCTTTTTAAGTTGTAATTCCTCAGGTAACTATTAAGATAAAAAAATATTTCAAGATGCTGACAAGGACAATAGTATTAGGTTTTCATCTATATATAAAAGGATTATATTTAAACTATAATAAAATTCTATTTTTTTGGATATAAGAAATAAGTGACTAAAATCATACCATCTAATTAATACAATCACTTCAAAAAGGTAGTAACAATTGAACTTGAGACTTTGGACAATTGGAATAAAACCAATAAAGTTAAGTACTAAAATCATTTCCCTCTGTTGTGATTTTAAAAGTTGATAAAGAAGAAGTCTTCTTTTTCTTCTTGAAAAAAATAGAGATATAGTACTTCAATGGATAATCTGTTAGATGTTAAGGAATCTTAATGAAAAAGTTTACAAATTTGAGATTAGAAAGTGTAGAAAAGTTGATTTATAAATAATTTTTTTTAGGAATCAGTAATACTTGATAAGACTGATTAAGAAATATTGTTACTTTTGTTAGTGATAAGTCTTGCGATAGAATATAATTCTTAATGATATTCAAATTATATTATAAATTTAAGTTAGTTAGCCTCTAGATGCATTAAGTATCGACAAAGAAATTAATATATATTTACTATAATTTGAATAAAGATATAAACCATTTGTTTAAAAAAAAAAAATTGAAAATTAATTAAATTAAAAACTATTATCTTTAAGAATTCAATTAAAAATACAATATGAAAATATTTTAAAAGAATTTATCTAATATATTAAATTATAATATTTATAAAATATATTTTAATAAATTTAAATTAATAACAAATATTATTTAAAAATAATAAATATTAAATAAAAAAAAACTCTTTCCCACTCCCCCCTTGGCACTTGAAAATTTCCTTTTTAGGAAATTTTTGAGTTGTTTACTTTCTTCATCTTTCCCTTTTCCTTTCTCTTCATTTCCCCTTCTCCACTTCTGTTTATTTCTTCTTCCCTATGTTTTCCTCTCTCTTCTTTATATTTTTTTTCATCTACAGTATATCCCCTTCCCCTCCTCTTATTTCTTTTCTTGCTGAAGTTAGGTTTTTCTCTTTTATCTAAAGGTTTTCCTTTTTAGGCCTCTCTTTCTCTTGAAAAATCCACTCTTCATAGCATCAACCTTCTGGCCAGTTGGTTTCCTTTTCTCAAGGATCATATCAAGAAGCAATAACTTTTCTTAAAGCATAGGCTTCAGGAAATTTCTCTTTTCCATGATTTTTTAGAAAAAGGATGGACAGTTTATCCCCTCCAAAAGATCAACATGGTCATTATTATCAAATCTGATGTTGTTTACTACATGATGGCTTTTTTAGACTGAATACATCTAAAAAATCAATGTACAACTATTATTATCTGAAAGTATCCAAGAAATTGCATCCTACTATTTTCAAAGTGATGTAATAACCAATGCCAATGCACTAACATAATGCTAGGTTAGCTGCAGGTGCCATGCTGGTGGTTGGAGAAACTTAGTAGGATAATATGTGAGACCAAGAATTCCAGTTACCCTCACAATACGAGCTGGTGATGACAACAAAAGTTCTCTACTCACCTCTCTGACAATGCAGGTCCAGTGTACAGAGTTGGGTATCAACATTTATAAGAAAACTTCCACTTTCCTATATCCAACACTCTTTTTAACAATCCAATACATCATGTGTAAGCCTTCTCTCTCTATTTTTCATGTTCGAACTATTCTTTAACCAAAACATATCCTCCAGAGCTATCTCATAGCAAAATTAATTGCCGCACCTCAGCCTAAAGTTCTAGTAATGGGTTCGAATGAGGGGTCCATACTAGGTGCAATTGGTGAAAGATTAATTCTACTTCAGAATGGCATTGGTGATAGAGTTGGTTGTCACCCTTTAGCCTAAAGTTCTAGTGATGAGTTTGAATAAAGAGTCAATACTAGATGCAATTGGTAAAGGACCAACAATATTTTGATATGGTTTGTTTCTAGTGTAGTTTAAATTCAACACTTTATCTGCTTGCCAGACATCAAGCCATATTTGAAAAGCAAGCATGTCAATCCTAGTTATAATTTGGAGGCAAACCTGTATATAGTGGCTGCAGTATCTTCATATAACTAGGTATCATTTATTCTAGATAGCTAGATGCCATTCAAAGTTTAATATAGGTTTTGAAATTCATTTTCTTGTATTTTTGGGTGGTGCTAAGGAGTGTAAGCAGATAGGCCCTTATGGTATGCCTTGTATTAAACCCTTCCTAACAAGGGAAACATATACCACATACTAAGTATAAAATCTTGCCTTGTTACAAGTCTAAAATTTTATAATAAAAACACATGCAAGAAGTTGCCACTTCTTCAAAAAAAAAATATAATATTTAAAAATATTTACAAAAAAATAAAAAAAAAATTTTTTTTTAAATAAATAAATATCATCACTTTATTATAATTGTAATAATTAAAAAAATTTTATATAAGAAAATAACAATATTTTTCATATAACCAATTGATTAATAAGTATAATGCTAGCTTGCCTATAATAAACTATCTAAGTTACAAAGAAAAAAAAATATTAAAATCAATATATTGTTAAAAATAGTATCGAATAGCTAAAAATATCTATTCAAATTTATATATAAAAAGATTATAAGAAGTAAATATTAAAGAAAAAAAAAATACTATGCAAAAAAATTAATTGTAAAGCTAAAGATACTTCAGAAAATATCACTAGGCATATGTAACATTCAATGTGTGGGGACATTATAATGTTAGGATTAATAAAGGAAAACTTTATTAAATATGAGAGAAACCAGACAACTCTGT